GTTCAGGGGCCACAATGCCCCCCGGGCCACACTTTGGACATCCCTGGTTTCAATGTTTTAATTTATTTTGTGCAGCTCTACGATTGTTTAAAGTGTTTTACAAATAAAACTGGATTGGATCCATGATGTTAGAATTGGTGAAAGTGTAAAAACCAGTTTTCACTATTAAAAGAAGGAGTTTCCACCACAGGAAACCAGTTTGCCCACCCTGAGCTGCAGCAGTGAACACACAACATGCAGGCCTACCGTGAGGTGGACCATGAGCAGCACGGCCTCATCCATCCATGTTTGTCCTTGAGACAGGAGAGAGATGCTGCAGCTCCTCGCGCTCTGCTGGGACCASGTGGAGACAGTCACGTGATCGTCRCCGTTTTAAATGAACCCGGAGCTCTGTGATAAACTGTGCTGTAAAAATCWTTACAAAGATCACGCATGTCACTCRTCGCTCACGCACTTACCCGCTGTATAAAACATGACGTCAGTCCAAACATAAACACTCAGTTTCCACCCTCTGATTGGTCAGTTCTGACTGACTCTTTATTTAAAGGCAGCTCTCTCCACCAATGGGCTCTGCTCAGGCTGAATGTGGAGAGAAACCGGTTTTAATTGGTCATCAAAAAAAATACACATTTGTGATCAAAACTTGTCATTTAACTGCTGTTTAGAAAACTTCACTCATGAAGTGAAAAGTTTTATTTGCAAAACAAACTTTATTGTGAAGGACAGAAATGTCAGGTTCAGCCTTAATGTTGTCTGTTTTTGATTAAAGCCAAGTTTTACAAACTGCAGCTCTTATGTTCCTCTGATGAAGAAGAGACATCTTTATTAAACATTAAACATTAAACATATTAAACATTTTACAATGTGAATGTAGAAAAACAGGCACCAAGCTGGACTTCTGCTCCTTCACACCTGCTTTGTGCTTGATTGTTGTGTTCACAAGTTTTATTGGTATTATCCAGAGTTGAATAAAGTACCATGAAGTGATACTTGAGTAAAAGTACAAGTATCTTACCAAAAACTTACATCGGTAAAAGTTGAAGTCTCCCTTAGGAATATAACTTGAGTAAAAGCCTTAAAGTATCTGAT